GGTGAGGGGCGGGCCGAGCCGTGCGTGTCCGCGACCCGGCGACCCCTCTGCTTCAGCCTCGGTCAGACCCCCGGTGACCCTGTCCCGTCAGGTGCCTGTCCGCGACCCGTGGCCTCCCCCGCCGACCTTGGGCGGTCGTGGCCGGGCCAGGGTCTCCCCGCGGGGTCGCCGGTGGGACCAGCTAGGCCAGCGGCCGGTCAGGACCCGAGAGCCCGAGAGATAGAGCCTGGGTCAGAGCAGTGAGAAGGCTGAGGGAGCGGACTCTGGGTCCTAGGTCTCGCCCGAGGCCGCAGAGAGGCTTGGCAGGCCTGACGTGTGCTTCTGGCGTTTGTACTTGCTTGCGTTGGAAGTTGATGCTTGGGTTCACTGTCGTTAGTACATCCCCAGGATGTTCCACAATGTCAGGGTACGGAGGACTCCGCTGGACCCTTGTCCAGAGGCGGAAAGCGGATCCGGGATCTAAGGCCCTGCCTGTGTTTGAGGGGGGCTTCTGTGGGATGGTTACACTTGTTCTGGTATTACCTCTTTTCTAGTGCTTTTCCTTTCTTCTTTTTAAAATAATGTTCTTTCTTAGGAAATTACAGTGACACATATAGTTTATATTTATTTGATAAAAAACTACCTCAACAGTTGATTTTACGAGTTGATTTTACTAGTTACTAGTTACGAGATCTGAAATGACATAATTAGACTAATGGTTTTGTGTCACAGAAAGGAAAACGGGACTCAAGGTCATAGTTTTAGTTGGTAAACATCCTTTTTGATTGTACTCCATCATTAGAGGGTCTTAGACCCAATAGTACTGATAGTAGTTCAAGCTGTGGATCATTGCAGTTCAGAGGGCTTACAGGTACAGGAGGACTTTGGGGTGGAGCACGTTGAAGTTAAACCTCCTACAAAGAGGTCTGCACTGTGCTGTGGAGTGATTTGGCTAGGCACAGTGGTCTGAATGAAGGTGAATGAAGCAATCTGAACTTGATCCAGGCCTGCAGGCGCCAACCAGATCATGGGCAATTTCCACCTGCCTAAAGCCTTTCTAGGCTTGAGGGCCAGCGGGCACGTCTGGGATCAGGCCTTTTCATTGCCAGCTCAGTATCTAGTACTTTGAGCTCATAAGGAGAATAAACAGTGACCCATCCTGGGAAGGCCAGGCTGATGGACCCAGAGGGTAAGGTCCCTGCATTCTTGCCCTGCCTGTTAGGAAGGTGTAAGGGCCTCTTGGAAGCAGCATGAAAGTGTTTGAGCCTTTTGGCTTCTTTTAGGCTTGTAGGAAATCATCACATTTTTCGTGTCAAAGCACAGTGCTTTGTAGACATGAATCAGAGGAGGGCCTTCTGTTGGATCAAAATTCTGTGGGTCAGTGATGCCTGAAACACGGTATGTATAATGGGTGGTATTTAATGTTTGTGGTTCTAGTAGTTGCGAGTGACTTGGTAAATTTGAAGTGTATAGTAATTTGTAATTTCCTAAAGGGTGTTTATTAACAAAACTGAGGTCATAAAACTCCTAATAGACTTAAAACTCTGTGCTTATTTGCTTTGATATGCATTCACTCACTGACTACAGTTCAGTCTCTAGATTTTACCCGCAACTGTCCTCTTTAATAGACTTCCCTGTAGGTGAGAGGATTGCCTCCTGGGATTCGTGACCTGTCACTCAGATAGCGGCCTGTAATTTTTCTTTTTTTAAGCTGGGGTCTGGCTGATGTAGTCATGGCTGGTCTGGGGCTTCAAGCTCACAGAGATGTACCTGCCTCCGACTGTTACCATTAAATCTCCTCACTACATTAGATGTTTTAGAGAGCAAGGGTAGAGCAATACCTGGCAGAGATGGAAGGAGCTAGTCACGGGGAGCGTGTGTCCCCAAGTCTGTTGTCTTTTGCTAAGTGCTGATCTGAGTGATTGGATGGCAGAGCTAGAGGGAATGGAGAAACGGGAACCTGTTTTTGAGGATCTTAACAGATGTGGTGTTAAAAAAAAAAAGGATGTGCTTGAGAAATGACCCATAACTCACTGTGTTCTGAACAAAGTAGAATCTAGACCAGTAGAGAAGGTAGGGACCATGGGCCCCTTACCCACCACTGAAAGGCATTTCTAGTCAGCATCGCCATGGCTCTGGGAGAATCAGGGGAGAAAGACAGGAGACACAGCACAGAGCTCGCCCGGCTGCTACCATCTTGCCCACTTCCTGACGGGTCTCGCTCCTATTACTAATCAGCTGGCTAGGGTTGTTTTGCTCTACTTGAATAGAACTCAAATCTCTTCAAGGGCTGGTCTTTGGCAACCTTATTTCCCTCTGTTTGCTCACAACAATGGCCACAGTTATGGCGGGGAGTAGCAGCAGGTAGTACCTTATGTTAGAGCCCCGGGCAAGCTTTAAGTGTTGAGACCCTTATTCCCACAAGGGAATGTGGCTTCAGAACTTTGGGTTCTTGGTGCTTAAAACCGCATAGGCCTAGATTCTCATATCGTTGCCCCTTAAGATAGATCCTGGATCTCTGCTGGCAACCAGAGCCTGCTGTTCTCTCCTGGCATCTCAAGCCTTTTTAGCTGTGTCCAGTCTTCGTTCTTTGCTTTTCCTCTCTACCTCCACCGCTCTTCTTCCTGCTCTGCCTGCTTCTTCATCGCTGACTGTTGAGGGTCACTACCCCTGCTGCTGTTCTACGTCCATGTTACCATTTCTTTGCTGTCACTGGTATTTATTCCTGTTACCAGCTCAGCCCAGACTATTGAAAATGGGTAAGAAAAGAAAGTAGTCAAGGAAACCTTTTATTGAGCTTAATGTCACAAAAGCAGGGAGGCCGCACTAGAGAGTGTCTCTGACCACTAAGTGAGCCTGAGTGGCCTTCTCCAGAAAGACACTGACAACACTGCCCCCTCTCTCAATGTCTTTATTCTCGTGAAAATGAAGGTGTGCTCTCTTGAACTTAAGGTGCTTTTGGTTAAGGCTAGAGTTAAGTTTGGTTGTAGAAAGCTTCCCTGGCATGTACAAAGTCCTGGGTTCAATCCTGAGCACTGCATAAACTGGGCCTGGTGGCTCATGCCTGTAATACTAGCACCCTGGAAGTAGAGGCAGGAACATCAAAAGTTCAAGGCCATCATCCTCTGTTAGAAGAGGTCAGCCTGGAATTCATGGTAACCTGTCTTAAAAGGAATTTAGTGATTTTAACAGTTCACTGCCCAAAGGAGAGGTAGCTGGATCTCTGCCAGCCTCACTCTCTTTCCATCTCTTGTCTTCACCGCGTGCAGATTTCCCACCTACCTAGATCTTCCTGTCTTGTCAGAGATGGCTTCTCTTTGATGGTTGGAGTGTCCTCGAGGATTTGTAGTCCATTTCTGCTAATCTCAGCACATATATTCTGCATTGCCATGTCTGTTTCTGTGGGTTTAACTGTTGATTCACAGTTCACACGTAGGTTTCTCGGAGTCTCTGTGGTCCTTGAAATTGTGTGCAGTATTGGGGTGGTCTGTATTTTCTTGGAATCAAAATCTAGCTATTATGGGCTTCAAGGTATAACTGTGTAGCCCAGGCAGGCCTTGAATTTATGATCCTCCAGCTTCGGTCTCTGGAACGCTGGATTACTGACCTTCACCCTGTGCTCTACCCATCCTATTTTTAAAAGCGTTCTCACTCTTCACAGTGTTGCAGCCATCCAGCCTGAATTCCCTGGTTCTTAATAATTTCTTCTTCTTACTTTTTAGTTTGTGTGTGTCGGGGGGGGGATATTTATGCCATGGGTTCCATAGGAGTCAGAGGAGAACTTCTTTGTTCCCTTTGTCCGTTCTTTCCTTCCTTATGCAGAACTTTTGCATAAGTTCTGGAATTGAATTCAGGGTGCCAAGTTTGCACACAAGCACTTCTTCAATTTTTTGTAAATCTGACACTCTCTCTGTCTCTCTCTCTCTCTCTCTCTCTCTCTCTCTCTTTCTCTCTGTTTTTTTGAGACATGGTTTCTCTGTGTAAGAGCTTTTGCTGTTCTGGAATTCACTTTGTAGACCAGACTGGCCTTGAACTCACAGAGATCCACCTGCCTCTGCCTTCTGAGTGCTGGTATTAAAGATGTGCGTCACAGCGCCTGGCTAAGACTGTCTTTCTTAAATAATAGTGTAAAGGCTGGAGAGATGGCTCAATGGTTAGGACCACTGACTGCTCTTCCAGGGGACCTGGGTTCAATTTCCAGCACCCATATGGCAACTTGCAACTTTCTGTAACTTTTTAAGATCTGACAACCTCACACAATCATACATGCAGTCAAAACACCAATGCACATAAAATAAAAATAAATAAATAAATTATAAAATACTAGTGTCAGTTCTCCCATTATTTTGAGAGGATTTTTTTCTAAATCTCCAAAACTGTGGCGGATATCAGTCTATTTGAGACAGGGTTGCATGCAGCCTGGGCTGGCCTCAAACTCACTGTGTACCCGAGGATGACCTTGATGCACTGATTTTCTTGCCTCTGTCTCCCAAGTACTAGGATTGCAGACATGCGCTACCACACCCAGCTAAGACAGCAAACCTTTAGACATTCTTTTTAGATTTATTTGTTTATGAATATTTTGCCTGCATATATATGTATGTGAACCGTGTGCATGCCTGGTGGCTAAGGAAGTCAGAAGAGAGCTTCAGAACCCTGGGAACTGAAGTTATGGGTGCTGGGACTTGAACCCAGGTCTTCTGCAAGAGCAATAAATGCTCTTAACCCCTGAACCATCTCCCTAGCGCCTAGCAATTTTTTTGTATGCAGTTTTTCTTATACACAAACATCCCTATGATATAATTTCTAAATTACTGACTAGTAATAAAAATAAAACATTTGTAACAATATACTATAATAACAGTTTGCAATTAGAATCATTAGTAAGTAAAATAAGAGTCACTTGAACACAAGCTGTGATACTGTGACAGTTGACCTGGTAATCAGGACGATTTTTAAGTGACTAACCAGTTGGTGACATATATCAAGATATGCTAGCAAAAGGGATGACTCATGTCCTGGGTGTAACTGGACTGGAGGCAGACCTTCATGCTATTCAGAACAGTATGAACTTTGAAGCTTAGGAATTCTTTTTTTTTTTTTTTTTTGGTCTTTCAAGACTGGGTTTCTCTGTAGCTTTGGAGCCTATCCTGGAACTAGCTCTGTAGACCAGGCTCGAACTCACAAAGATCCACCTGCCTCTGCCTCCCAAGTGCTGGGATTAAAGGTGTGCGCCACCACCACCCGACTTTATATATACACTTATTTCTCTTTTTACTTATTGAGTTATTCTCATTAAATCCTGACCGATGTTAAATGGATTTTTTTTCAGAATGAGTTTATAAAATGGTACCTGTATTTTATTTAACTTTCATTTCTTTTTTTTAAATTATAAACTGATTGGCCTAGTATCTCAGGCTTATTTATTAACTCTTATAACTTATATTAGCCCATAATTCTTGTCTGTATTAGCTACATGGCTTGGTACCTTTTTTGGCAAAGCTGTCATATCTTGCTATCTTGCTTCTTCTACGACTGGGTCACGACTGCAGACTCAAATATCCCTTTTTTGTTTGTTTGTTTTAAGACAGGCTTTCTCTGTAGCTTTTTAGAGCCTGTCCTGGGACTTGCTCTGTAGTCTGGCCTCAAACTCACAGAGATCTGCCTGCCTCTGCCTCCCGAGTGCTGGGATTAAAGGCATATGCTACCACCGCTTGGTTTAGGAATTCTTTATTTTTTTAAAAAAATTTAGTATTTCTAGCCTACAGTTGTCCAGGAATAACTAAGAAATAACTCTGGAAAGTGGAACTTCATGGTGTGTGCATGTGTGTGGTAGTTACGTCGTCTGTTACACAGCCTTGCACATGAAATTATACATCTCCTGTTACCTCGTCTGAGTTTGGAGAGTACCCTACAAACTTTCCTTTTTGTTCATTGCTAGTTTTTTGTTTTTTGAGAGGGGTTCTGGGATTCAGCCCTCTATGTCTGAACTACATCTTACTTAGATCTCTTTACTTTTTACTTTGAGACAGTATCTCACTACATGTTCAGACTAGCCTTGAACTCACTCTGTCACTTAGGCAGGCCTTGAACTTGTGATCCTCCGGTACCAACTCTGGAATGGCTTGAGTTACAGGCTTTTGCCACCCAGACCCGTCTTTTAATCTGTCTGTACATAAGAGCATAAGAGTGGTCATATTGTCATAGTGTTTTGTGTTCATTTTATTTGGCCACCAATATGTCTTTTTATTTTTTTTCAAGACAGGGTTCCTCTGTGTATCTGTGGCTGTTGTGGAACTTGCTCTCTAGATCAGGCTGGCCTCAATCTCAGAGATTCTCCTCTGCCTCTGCTGGGATTAAAGGCATGAGCCACCACACTGGCTAATAGTATGTCTTGG